AGCTCTCAAGCTATATTTAAGCAATTTGAACCCACTAAGCTGTACAGCTTTCCTCTCAACATACCTCTCTCCAGCTTCTCAAAGTCAAGACATGAACAGACTAGAAAAGAAAAAGAGAAAAGTTAGTTATTTCCAATTGCTCATGCAGCTTGTGGTATCCCACAGACCCCCCTGAGTATATGGGTACAGATCAAGCTAAGTAAAGCAACCCTCAAGCTTGGCATGGCAGGAATAAATTGGATGTTTATACTTAAAAGATTCTTTACATGGCCTGACAGCCCATCTGCTCCAAGATACTACCCCTCAATTCTTCCCCAACTTAAGGCCATCTCCTCTTGTCCTATCACTTGTTACTTGTAAGAAGAGACCAGCACCCAGCTCTCCACAACCTGCTTTCAGGGAGCTGGAGAGAGTAATAAGGTCTCCCCTCAGTCTCCCCTCCTTTTCTTCAGGTTAAACAACCCCAGTTCCCTCAGCCAGTCCTCACAAGACTTGTGCTCTAGACCCTTCAGCAGCTTTGTTGCCCTTCTCTGAACCTGCTCCAGCACCTCAATGTCTTTGTTGTACTGAGGTGCCCAAAACTGAACACAGCACTCCAGGTACAGCCTCACCAATGCTGAGTAGAGCAGGATGATCACTGCCCTAGTCTTGCTGGCCACACTTATTTCTGACACAAGCCAGGGTGCTCTTGGCCTTCTTGGCCACCTGAGCCCACTGCTGGTTCCTATTCAGCAAGTTGTTGATGAGTACCACGAGGTCCTTTCCTGCTGGGCAGCTTTCCAGCCACCCCTGAATCACATCTCCACAGGATAAAAAATTTCCCTTCTCCACACAATGGGCTCCCACCAGTAGTGAACACACTGTATTTTTATTAAAAAACCTCCCCATGTTTACCTTGGTTCCCAGGTAAAAGATCTGACCACCACAGCTGCTGATGGACTGATAACAAGCTTTCTCTCCAACCAATGCCTACAGGGAGAAAAAGGACATGTGAGTAAAACTGCTTTTTGGTTTTTGTAATATTTCCCAAGAAATACACATATACTGGAACTTTGGAGACACTTTGTAATGCAGAAATCAAGATGAGGACTGGGAGAGAACACCACAGGTCCTGCAGAACATAGGAAAAGGTACATTTCTGATCCTCTGAGCAATGGGGAAAAAAAACTAACACAAAAAAAGCTTCCCATTAGAAATTGTCCTTGAGTCAGTTGCTCTGGAGTAGGTTGTCTTGCAATTCCTACTGAAATGCAGGGAAAGGGATTGCCTGTTTCATGTCCTCAGTTATTTCAAAATAGTGGTACAGATTTCAGATCTTATCTGCCACTTAGAGTCTGTGACTTAAGCAGAGATCTTTTCCAGACTCACAATAGCTTTTTAACAGGCAGCACTTATTTGGGCCCAACAGTTCTTCATGCTAAATGTCTCTGGCTTTGATGATAAAACTCCAGAAGCCCTCCCAGGGCACAGCAGAGTTTCTGAAGCTGAGTGAAAGGCTCTGATTAACAACCTATCCCAGCAAGGAGAGCTTGTGTACCACTGTAGCACCAACCCCTTGTGGTTGCCAGTCTTCTGTGAGGTTGAGCCTGACAATGCTCAACGTGGAAGGCAGTACATAAACTAACTTAGAAAAAAATCAGAAGGTGGAGCTTAGTTTTTCTCAGTACACATCTGGAGCAGAAAGAACAGCAGCAATGCTGGCAGTGTGAACCCAGAGAAGCAGCAGCTCTGTTGATCTAAAGGCTGCCAAGACTTCTCCTAGGTCTGGAGTAAGCCCTCTGTTCCTTGGTGCTTAAAGGGAACTATGACAGAGAGCTCTTTTTGGGAAATCCTGCCATCCTTCATTGAAGACACTTCTCCTTGGGCTTCTGGAGCCCAGTTATGACTGTAAACTGGGCTTGAAATTGCAAATCCAAACCACAGAACCACATGAGCCTTCTGCTAGTTGTTTGGGCCAGCAAGTCTCAGAGGCCTATAGCAGAATTGAACAGGAACTATATCATCCAGCTGTAGAATTTCAGAACCCCTGGGCTGTTGCTGGTGAAGCACTGGGAAGCTTGAATACAAGGATGGAAAGCCCTTTCTTACATGCACTCTTGGAAAACTATTTCCAAAACAGAGGAATTGATTTACTGAAAGCAATAACTTGCCCCACAACTATGGCTTTAAAAAAAAACCCTCCACAATGCTATAGCAACACAATTGTACCACATCAGTGAGTGAGTCTGCTGCAGAAGGCACAGGAGGGTTACAGGAGCCACCAAGTTGGAACCTTCACAACTGTGCATGCTTACATAGACATTTCACTGCATCCAAATATTTCTGTCTGCCTATGCTTGGATGTTTTGTGTCTATACATATATGGATTTAGGATACCCTGTAGGAAGTTAGTGTGAGTTTTGTCACTCTCAAATTTCTAACTCAGTCACTGTTTGATTAGAACACATTCTACTAGTCAAATAAAAGAAAGATAAAAGAGGAAAGCAGCAGGTTGTTTGTGCCTACCAGGGCTTCACTGACGTTGCCTCCTGTAGCCAGAGATTTGAAGTGGCTGCTGTTGTAGACAAGCTGAACCTCTGAGATCTCTATGGTCTCCAGCTCCTCCTGGGTCTGACGGTCTATGACGTGCAGTTTCTCCACACTGTCCAGCAGCACTGCTGTCCTGGAGTTGATCCACTACAAGAGACAACAAATCACAGGTTTCAGCAGTGTAGATACAATCAGAGGCCAACTAAACAGGCTCTGGTTATGTCCCCAAGGAGCAACACTGGAAGTTCTAGGATGGCTAGTAGCTTGGCACCTCCTTCACAGAAAACATCTGCAGACAGATAGCAGCCCCCCAGAGATCCTGGTCCTCTTGGTGCACTCTTTATGCTCTAGCACACTATTTCCAAGGGTCTGAAAACCAAGACCACTGTAATACTTGTTCTCACATCCCTCAGGAAGTAAATATGGCATCAGGAGGCATTAAAGTAGCAGCACATCTGAGTCCAACCCAAAGCCTGCCATTCATATTCTGTGGCTTCTACTTTTATGTTCAAAGCCCTGCAAATAAGAAGTCTTTTTTCACTGCTTTTACAATATTTATTTTTCTTTAAACAGCCAAGCATATCAGTTAAACTTAACTCCAGCTGATGTGGATGTCCATTTTGGTATTTTGGCCTTTCAGGTTTTATTTGCTGTACTCTGTAAATATGTTTTAGGAGCTGAAATTTTTTTTTATTGAAAGCACCAAACAATTATGGTGCTTTAGCAACACTCATATATGGACACACTAGAATTTCACTGAATCAGTTACACAGAAATCTGCATTTTTTAGTGAAAATATAGAATAAGAATCTTTCTTGCCAGATTCTCTCTCTGTCTTCAAAATATTTCCTCAAGAAGGCTACCTCCCCTTCTCAAGAAAGAGCAATAGTGTTGCCTCCATGCCACCTATTTTTTTATCCTTTTCTCCCAGACAAACACAGCCCCTTCTTAGGCTACATTTTTAAAGCAAATAGTATGAAACTAAGAGCTATTGAGATACATTTCCAAGAAAACTAGTGAAAAAAAAAAAAGTTAACCATTCTACAGTACTGAGACTTACAGTGAAGTTGATGAGGTCATAGTGCAGATGAAGTTGTCTCTGCTTAGTGACATGTATTGCACCAGTATCATCTCTCTTGACCTGAAAGAGAAATTGGACAAGGCTAACTCAAACTCTAAGACTTTCTTCAGCTCAACCTCCCTGTTCCCCAAGGATGGCACACCAGCTCCAGAAGCCTGCAGCTCCCCTCAGACAAAGCATGCTGAGCACATCACAGCAGGACACATGCTGCTCAAATGGAGTCTAATGTCTCATTTCCAAAATCACTCCTGTCAGGGAGGAAACAGAGGCTCTGAGCAGTGGGGAGCAAAAATATATACCCTCTGCTAGATCAATTTTAAATTGTTTATTGGTGCTACAAGAGTTGTATGTCCTAAGCTGGCAATACATGTGCTCAAGGGATTCTCCCCCCCTGCCCCACCTCATCTATTACAGAAAGCAATTCAGTTTCTAAAAGGGGTGCAAACCTCCAGCAGTTGTACAGAGACCACCAAAGAAGGACAGACTGCCATTCACTGACTCCCAGGGGGTTCAGTCCCACTGGACTACTGAACTGAAGGGAGATGTTGCTCCCAGCCAAGGGTTATCTCTTGTTCTCTGCAGGAACTACTCTGCTTGCTGCTCGTAGCAGTCTGAGCTACAGAATGCTCATCTGAAACTGGCTTTAATTTATCATCACTAAAAGAAACATTCTGCACAGAAAAATAAGGAGGTTTTACCTTTTGACAATTTGGAGTACTGCAAGAGGGAGCTGAATTCAGGTAAGATGGCTGCACCACCAGCTGCAGCTGAGCTGGGTATCTGTGCAGAGGCTCATGCTACTGCATGCACAGACCTCTCCAGAAAGACAGGCTTAAGCATACACCCTTTTCTTCATGGCTCATGTTTTAAAGCAAAGAATCAAATGATATCTCAAATTCAGGTGACCTTCCTGAAAACAATCCACACTCTTCTACTTCCACTAGAAAGGAGATAAGCTGCACATCAACACTTTTGAAGCCCACAGAGCTCATGCCTCCAGATTCTGAGGGAGCAGCCCTGCTGCTGGCTGGTTTCTCAAGCTGGTTGCAAGCTGTGGACAACCCTAGCAGGCACAGATGTCATGTCACTGAGGCAGAGGCTCAGTCAGCTGAGCATGTGAATAAGAGGTGACTAAAGAGCAGCATAAACCAGCCAAGACTTACCAGAAGAAAGTGAACGACATCTCCTCGACAAAAGGCAAGCATGGGGTTCACAGAGCTCTGCACAGCCACGAAGTGCCACGCCAGAAGAGGGACACTAGAAGGGTCCATCTGGAACACAAAGAGCACAGCCAGTGTTTAGGAATGTGAGGCAGAACCTCAGTCCCAGGACACACACTGTTCAGCAGCTGCTGCTCGCTGGCTATGCCATGTCCACACCTCCTGGTCCCTGGCAGCAGAGCAGTGGCTTCTGCTCTTTGCTCCAGCCACACAGCTCAGGGGCAATGTGTGTCTCTTGGCAGAGTGGTTGGACATGCAGAATAAACACTAACTGCTTTAGGTAGATCCAATCTCACATGGACTGATGGACTACAACAAGCTGCAGCTTGCCAGCAGCCTCATCTCCACCCTCCCAATCTAACATATCCCACAACTTCCCCCAGCTGCTTCTCAGAGGAATTGTGACTAGTGAAAGCAAATAATCAATGTTTAGATGGCTGTTTAGTGCTCTAATTCCACTCTGTTTCTGTCCTTGCAACTAAGGGTTCTATAGTATAGTTCTTAGGTAAAGCAATGGCCCCAGTCTAAGGTGCTTAGAGCCATAATCAGGTCAACATCTCATCTGTGAGTGCATCCAGGGAAGACAAGAAGCTGAGGAGCTCCTGTGGTGATCCTCCCTCCCTGCTTATTGGAGAAATCCAGCATCTTCACATAGGTACAGCTGAAAGCAGCCTGTTCACCTCCTCTCTCACAAGCTGCACACTTCAGACCAACAAATTGTCACTGCAGTTCACTCTGTGATACCCAACACCCAGTCCTAATCCCATCCCCTAAACTCTAGGAGCTCTTAGTAGCCCTAACCCAAAAAGTGACTGTTGGGCTTCATTACTCACACGACCATAGGGAAAAGTCATCCACACTTTCAGAGATGGCTTCAGGCCAATAACCAGTATCTACAAGAAAAGCAAAGAGGCAAAATAAAATTTCTGAGTATAGACCAGGAAACTTCTCCTTTGTGATGTCTGTAAGCAGCAAGTTACCTTTGTTAGAGAGGCCATGGCCAGCAGGGAATATTGGGTGATAGGATGGTCCCTCAGCTCAACTTTTGCATGCAGTGGTTCAATACAGCAAACTTCACCCTTTGAGCCACTGAAGAGACATCGAGATTCACATGTCCTCACTCCCATAACCCTCCTGCAAAGAAGGGAAACCAGCTTGGTGGCCAGCTATCAAGAAGAGATCAGCCCAACAACCTCAGGAAATCTCAGGAGTGACCCTTCAATAGGTATTGTTTTTTTAGAAGTCCTTTTCACAGCTCCAGGGGTCACTTTTAGTGTGTCACTGGATGCAGTCCCATATAGCTGCTCAAATACCAACAAGAATTCCTTAAGATCTCAACAGTGAAGTTTTGGAAATTCCTGGACATGATCAGACTCTTTCACTGGCAATCCTTCCTCTTTGTCCCTCCTTCTCCTCTTGAAGAGGCCAAGAACAACACAGGCAGTTACTATAGGGCAGCTCTCACTACTGAAACAAGGAAAACCCAAAGGCAGCACTTTTATGACAACTCCCAAGAGTTCAGAAGGAATACCAAGATTCTGGACAACACATCAATACCTTAAAAACTCAGGCTAGTCTTGGGCTATTCCACTACCACACAGCATCTTGCTTCAGCTGTGAAATAATACTGAAGTCCTAAATTCCACCTTCAACATTCAGACAGCTTTATTGCTTCCAGTGGGGTTTTGATTTGCTAAGGTTTTTAGGAACTACAACCCAGTTTCTTGTACTTTCTGTGGGTACTTTGAGTTCTTGTCTTACTTAAATGACAGTTCAAACACGGAGCCCCCGCTGTCGTTGCAAATGGCAAGGGTTGGGTCATCTGTGAACTGAGCAGAAAATCACATTAAATTAGTGGCAATAAGAAAGAAATTACTAAAAAAAAAAAAGTATGCTATGGCATTAACAGCACACAAAAGTACAAGCCTTGTAGCTACCAGAGAGACACTTTTACACACAGCGTTAAGGCAGCTGCTGTCACGCGGCGTAAAGCCAGCTGCTGTTATTTGCCAAACTGCTGACAGAAGCTACTCCCTACAACTTCAGACTCTAAAGTTGGGAAGTTATGTATCCAGTCCAAAGTTTTGGAGAAATGTGTTCTAGCAACTAATTCCTCATAGATTTTTAGCATCAGAGTGAAGACTTATAACAGACAACTGTTGTTTGTTACAGAATAACTCCCAGCTGATACTGTTATTTCAGCTCTCAAATACTCAAGCTTCTTTTCCAAGTAGAATTACTGCTTATTTTTCTGCTTATTTTTATATACAAGTGTATTTTAAAGAAAAAAAAAAGTAAATAAAGTAGTAATGAAGTAGTAAGTGTAGTGGTTGTTACCTTGATGTGCAAAATGGCTGTTCCTGGGGGGTGAGCATCTGTTATTGATCGTAGCAGCTTCCCACTGGCCAGATCCCACATTGTGATCTGCAAGCAGATTGTTCTCAGTACATGTTTACTGCCAAGTTCTCTCCATCACCTTATGAGTTAGGTCTTTAATCAGTTTCTACACTCCCAATGTCATTCTGGGTTTAGTAGAGTCTTCATGTCATATAAAAGTGATCTGAAACCTGTTTCTACTCACTTTTTACAAGCAGTTTACTGATCTGCTTATACTCTTGTTGACAACATTAGAGTTATCTTCACAACTCTGAATCATGTTCTTTTGGCAAGCTCTCACTACCTGCCCAAACTCCCTCACCTCACAGCTATCTGCCTGATAACAAAGAATGTAAGATAACTTTGCTACCACACAACACTCCTCAAGGTGGTTCAATGCATTTCCCTCTCACAGAATCAATAAACAGTTGAATAATCTCTGCTAACACCCACTAGCAAATCTCAAGCATCTCCAGGGCTACCATGAGCCTTGTCACTCCTCTCCTCCTGCCCTTGCTCAGTGTGAGGGGTCAGGTAGGACTATACAGCTTGGCTTGGATATTCAAGTCAGGCAGTTTCTCAAGGAAGAACCAGGAAGTCCCAAACTACTTACTGCATAACTGAGGAATACTTAATCCAGAAGAGCTGAGATAACAATTTGAATCAAACTTTTTATTTCAAGTGCTACTTTATATGGTTCCATAAATGATTTTTTTAAAGCTTTGCAGACCAGATGTTTCAGAAGTGCTGCCCAAAAATGTTGCACCTGAGTCTCCTTTCAAATTGGCCACTGTTCTACAGGGATCAAATCTGTAATTCCACATGGTCTGGAGCAGTCTGTCATTCAGCCCTACCCACAGACACTGGGATGTGTTTTATCTAGAATGAAAGTGACAGCCAAAGGAGCAAAGGAAAATGAAACTAAAAAGAAAAATAAAGCAGCCTTCTTTGTATTCTATAGACCTCTAAATTTTACCAAATTAACTTCTATTTTGGTTTAGTTTTAGTCTTATAACTTTTGTTCAGGAATTGCTTTCTCTCTTCAGGTTCAGAGAAGGGCATAGAACTACAGCAGCAGACTCAAGCCCTTTTTTCTCTGCATTCAAAACCTACTCTGCTTTCAGTGGACAGCAGAAGTAAGGTATTAGTGAAAAAGAACTCTGGGGCTTGAATTTCAAGAATTTGAAGTCATCATCACAATAAAAACAAGCTTTAATTAAAAAGCATACATCTCACCAAGTGACCTAGAAAGACAAAGCTGGTTGTCCTAGCACATCACTGCACATTTCAGTTTATCAGGAGCAGGGCTGATGTCACACTGAGCCCTGATTAATTGAATCCCTAACTATATTCTGCATTTTCCACTTCCTCCACAGAAACCTCCCCCAAACAATCTGATTAGCTTGCTGGAGGGCAGGAATGGGGTGGCCAAAACAGCTCTGGGCAGATGAAGCCACACATACTGCCCCTCAGCACAAAGCCAACTCACAGACAGCTACATACTGAGTGTGCTTAGCCTGGAAGTGTTGTCTCCTCTGGAGAGCCTCTCAGGAGCAGCCTGCAGAAGGAGAGAGCATGGGACCACCTTCTCACCCTCTGGGAATTACCTGTCCTTTTGCAAAGCCACAGAGGAGCCTCGAGCAGTCGTTGTTGATGCTGAGAGCAGAGATAGCCCCATACTGGGCCCCAACAGCAGTGCTGCCCAGACACAGTCGAAGGGCCTGGTTTTGATCTAGAGCAGAACAATTAGTAGGAGATTAAAGACAAAGAAAGAGCCATTATTAAAATTAATATCATGCAATTCTTTACATCTGCCATTCACTTGGGGCACATTAGCAATTCCCAGGCTTACAGTGAAGCTCTTGAAGAGTTTACAAGATGAGAGCATGTTAGTGCAGAAACAGGGTCACTGGCTTGCAGGGGAAAACAAATTCTTTTAAAAAGTACAGAACAGACACAGGGAATATGGAAATGCAGAGATATTACAAACTGAAGAAACTGCTGGAAAAATCAAAGTAATATCTAGCATTCCTTTCACCATCCTGCAACAGTGCTTAAGCTGTAGCAAGGAAATGGACAGCAAATTAATTCTATCTTCCAAACCCTCTATTTCTGTTTGCCAGAAATTCCTGATTCTCCTTTCCCCAGAGCCAGGCTACTGCAGGAGGTGCTAATGCCTGCACAGCCTCCTCAAGGACTGGACATGGCTCTGCCCTGCCTGCCCCTGCAGACAGCAGGTTTGGGCCAAGTTCTCATGTGCTTCCAGCAGGGGAGACTGATAAGATATTGCAGTTGAGGTGTTAGGAGTGATAACCCTCTGCCTGTCTTTGGTGTGTTGCTCCTAAAGTCTAATGTTCTGGATCTGTGTTTTCCACCTTTCTCTGGTTTTGTCCTGCTTTTGAGTGGGGGAGGAAGAAAAAGGTGCTTTGTGAGGACTTTGGGAATGGAGACTAGAGACTTGCAGTCTCTAGAAGCACCAAGTAACCCTGTGTGCAGGATTTCACCTTGAGCAAGGAAGGGAGATGAGAGGACCTGGGGAAGACAGCAGCTGAGCACCAGAGACACCCTGGAAGAACTGCCTAAGGCACAGGACACGTTTCTCCAAGCTGCAGCACCACCAGCAATGTGCCAGATGTGAAATGGAGCAGGGATGTCTCTCTCATTTCCTCCCCAACACAAAGTGATGTACTTCTCAAGCTTTGCTGACAGATTGCAGGCTGAGCACACACACAGTGGGAGTCACTTTTCAAGTTCTACCAGTATGAAGAAAAGGAATTTGTGGGAAAACCAAAATAAACACTAGCAAGGAGAGCACCTGAACTCATTGGATGCTCTACAGCACTGTTCAGGGTGAAGAGACAAAGGCTAGGGCCAAGTTCAGATAACTTTTTCCACTCTATTCCTTGTTTTCCTGCATCTACCTCAATAAACTTGTCTGCTGTAGAGACCCAAAAGAAAGTTAAGAGTTTCTTTTCCTGCAACTTCTCAACAGTGGTAGCAGGGGGGTAGTGATAGGGAGGGTGTTACAAACACCACTTATTCTGCAAGTGAGACAGGGCCTGGGAAAGACAAAGGCCATGTTCTGTGCTGCAAAGAGCATGAGGAAGTCTCAAGTGTTAGAGAAAACTGTCAGCTTTGGTCTAAACCATGACAACAGCAGTGGTCAAGAGGACACCATATGGTAGAGTGCTCAGAGACATCAGGATTCTTGTGAATATTGTTGAAATCTGTGTGAGGAGAAGAGAAAGGTGCCTTTGGCTGAGAAATGAGAATCATCACCTCTTCATCAGCTGACAAGCAGCCCGGGCAGTTCTGGAACAGGTTTCCTGTTCTTCCTGTGCCAGCACAGCACCTGATGCTGCATGAAGAAGCAAGCACCTCCTCTGCCATCCTCTGCCCTCTGCCTTATGCCAAACACAGAACAAAGGAGCTGCATTTTCAAGTAAGAACTGACATTTGCTTGTTTACACTTAAAAACATTTCAAAAAGATTCTGCTTCTGCTGTCAGAGATGTTTAGTTAAGCTCCAGGTAGATGAAGATTCATTTCCACAGTTAAATAATCAGAAACTGTAAAGCACTGCTCTTGATTAGCTTTCCAAATGAATGTCACATTGTTCTGAAAGCCAATGAGGATGTGAGGGCTCAAACTGGCTGAACCTACCTGCACAGCCCCAGCTCTGAAGGCTCTGGCAGGCACATGAGTTACTGTTCCAACAGATATCTAAATTCTATAAGTCATGACACTCATGTTTAACAACATAGGAAGGCAGAGCCCTCCTAAGGTCAGTCTGGTGCCACAGAAGCACAGCACCTTCTGCTCCACAGGCCAGGCTTCAAAACTAAGGCCACTGCTCTGCACACCACTATTAGAAGAAGATGAAATCTGCAGCCATGTGTTGGGAATAAAAGTCATCCTTTGCCACCCCACTATAAAGCACCTTGCCCTCATTGTGACAAGGGTGCACATGGCACAGAGCAGGAGAGGGAAAGAAAGAATTCCCACAGGAGCTCAGAGAACACACAGCTGCAGGTGGAAAACAAGTTCCCCTCAGAGGGGTGTCCCTCCAGATGATGTCCTTCAAGTCCCAAAGGAACAATTCCTGTTTCAGAGGTTTGGAAATACAGTTAATTAACAAAAAGATCAACTGCTAACCACAGAAATATGAAATTAAACACTTTGTGTGACTCAGGTTATTGTTTCCTAGGAAGGAAGTGTCCACTCTTTGCCAGAGATGCATTTTCAGAGTGAAGAAATGATCCCTTGGAAAGCTAAACCCAGAGAGAACTTAAACCCATGCCAGTACTGGTTCTTGTTTCCACCCTCTCAAAAGATGACACACAGGAAGGAGTCATTAGATATTAAAAATTAAGAAAAAAGAACAAAATAAGACGGACAAAATTGCTTCCAAAGGAAAGCAAGATGCCTCAATTAATGAGCTCCTATTAATCAACTCCTAGAGTAATAAAAATGGATAAAAGCAATTATAAAAGCTGAGCTGATGATTTTCCAGACTAATATTATCAGCTTTGAATTAAGGAACATTTAGAATTAAGCACAAAAAGCTTCTTCCAAATGCCTGAGGCAAAGGTGGCTGCCAATTTGTAAAAAAAATGTTTTTAATTTTGCAATTTTGAAGAATTTCTGGCAGTGACTATTGATGCTGCTCTCCAAGTCTGAAGTCAAAATGAGATGGCACTTTGATGCAGCTCCACAAGAATAAGAACAAGTTTGTGAACATGAAATAAGTCACTTTCCAGAGAAAAAGGAATAAATGTAGCACTCCAGATGTTACAGCTTCTCAGACCATCAAGATCAAGACCTTTTCTTTAAGCCATGATTTTCCTGAGTTTGCAAGGCCTTGCAGAATTACTGAGATACTACAAATTTTACAGATGGGTCCTTTCCTCCCCCCTTTATTAGGCACAGTACCAGAAAATGCTCCCCTAGGAGGTATACCCCTCTTGGGGCTGGGGATCAGGAGGACAGGAGATGGTCAGCTAATGGGACAGGCTGCAGACACCACCTCCCCCAGTAAGGAGCAGGACTCTCAGAAGTCACTGTCTGCTGGCAGAGCTTTCACAAAGTTCCTGCCTTGTGGCTCTTGGAATCAGGTCCCTGCCCCATAGTGCTCCCACCTGACAGCTCTCAGGCAGAAGCAGATGGGGAATGAGTTCTTGGAGAGCCTCCCTCCTGCCCCAAACTAACACCTTTACAAGCAGCAATGGACCTGTGGCTCACAAACTCTAAGCAGAGCTCATTTACCCATTCCTCTGCTGCTCTGGCCTGGAGAATTCAGAGACATGCACTGCACATGGATTCAGGAAGCTCCCAGAGAGGGCAGCAGGACTATCCACTGACTGCTTACTGCACTGCCCCACTTGCTGCTTCTCTGGCTCCTGAAGTTCTGGCACAGACAACATGCAGACTGGGCAAGACAGGGGTTGGTCATGCAGGGCACGTGCACAGTGCAGGGTTACTGTACCTTTGCCTTTGCAGTCCACACAGAAGGGGCCAAAAGAGGAAAGAAAAAGCCAGAAATCAATACAAAAGGAAGGAGTGAAGTAATGAACAGCATATATGTGATAATATTCAAAGAGAGAACTTTCAGGTTTTGCTAACAGTGTCTCCTCTTAACATTCCCCTTTTCATCTGTTCAAGTCACTGAGAGGGTGCTGTGATATCAAGTGTTTTAAAACCAAGCAGCTTAAAAAGCACATGGAATCACTGAAGAGAAATTAGTTTCTCAATTTGTCCTCTGTTGTGCTAAAACCAAGCAGACAAAAAAAAAGAAATCTGAGAGGAACTAAAACTGGAAGTTCACAGCAACATAACTGCTAAAAGTATTTTCAACAGTTACCACCAGCAAGACTCTCAACTTCCCATTAAAACTTCAAAAAACAACCAAGGACAATGGTCCCAAAAATCTAGTTTTAATGCTGTCTTTAGGCACACTACCCCCTAAGTGTACCTTATACACTTATTACATTACCTTACTACACCTCAATAAGGCTCAGGACACTAACCCCAAGTTTTACAGCCAACAGAGAAAATAAATGGCTCAACACTAATCAAAACAAAGTTTAGCTCTATAGAAAATTTCTGTCTGGAATGTAATGTCTCCAAGAAAAATAACACATTTCAGGGAGTTCTGTTTAAGGGCTCATTTTTGAGGGGTGTAAAAACCTCTTAGCTCTTCAAGAAAGATTGAGGAATAAAAAACAAACAGGAATAAAAAGACCAAACATCCCTTCCTACCTAAACTTCTGCAACACTTACAGGGTGTCAGAGCTGGCATCTAATCTAACTCTAACCCACAAGAAAAATACTGATTTTTGAAGATTTGATCCACTATCTGAGAATTGTCCTGTGATAATTTTTCAAGAGCCAGTAGAAGCATTAAAAAAGCAGGATGAGAGTTATCCAGGTCTACCTTAAAAAGGACAAAATGGACAATTCAAGAGATACAGTTGGAGTTACAAGACAAATGAAACACCTAAAGTCAAATACAGGAAAGAAAAAAATAAAGGGTGAAAAAAAATCTGCTAGTGACCCAAAACCATTCAGAGAAATTTGAACATCAGCAACGTTCAGCTAGAAAATGGATCTACATTTGTTCAGACAAAAAAAAAAGGTGATGTTTCCACTGTACAGAATAAACCATGCAAAGAGCTCACAAGACTTCAGGGAGTAAATCTCATCCTGATTAAGATATCTAATGGTTAAACATTTTCATTTAAAAAACACAGAAATTGACCAGTCTACAGGCAAAAACTGCTGTATTTAAAAGATAGAAATTCTTTAAGTTATAGAATAAAACCAAGGCAGAACACTAATCCTCCCTCCCTGCACACATCCTGTGAGGGTTTCCCTCTTTGCAGACACATCTCACAGCACTCAGGTCAATGCCCAAGTGTTTGTTTGAAAGAGTTGAGCAGAGAACAGAAGTGTCCAGGAAGCTTTTGTGCCCTTATCTGAGACAAAGTTGGATGACACTTTGATTCCTCATCACCTTTAAATGACAGTGTAGACTCCCAGAGTAATTTCAGTTGCAAGGGAGCTGTGGGGATCTCTGGCCCAGTCCTGCTGCTCCAGGCAAAGTCAGCAAGATCAGCTTGCTCATGGCCTTGCTGGGTTCTCAGTATCCCCAGGTGAGAAGATTCCACAGCCTCTCTCAACCCTGATCTAAGGTTTCAGTAGGCTCACTGTGAAAAATTGAATCAGAACTTACTGTGCTGCAACTTGGCTCCACAGCCTCTTATCTCCCACCACTGAGCTCTGAGAAGGATCTGAGACCCACCTTCTCTCCATGCAGAAGAAATTGAATTCCTTCAGCCTCTCCTCACCCCATCCTGCACTTCAGCCCTGTAATCATCTTGGTGACCCTCCTCCATGGGGGTCACTCAAGTACCTTGATGTCTCTCTTGTAGCAAGCAGCCCAAAGCTGGACACAGCACTTCAGGTGTGGCCTCACAAGCACAGCACAGAGGGCACTGAGAATTCTCCTCAACCCTCCCAATGCACTTGTGAGAACACAGCCCAGGGGTGGCTGGATAGAAAATAGGTTTCAACAGATCACAAAACTTCAAAAGTCCTGTTGCAACCACGCAGAGAAATTCTACAAAGCACTTTTATTTTAATAAAAGCCAACCAGTGGAAAGCTGGCACTGTGATGAGTTTTCCTAGAGGCCACAGAAGGAGCTGAATAATTACAGACCACACAGCTTTCCAAAGATCATGAGAAAGGGAAGGATGACCCTTCCTCTTTGCATGCTCACACAGAGCCCCTTCTGGAGTGTAAAATGCTACAAATAATCTATTATGATACTGGCAGAAAACACCTTGTTTGAAAGCTTACTGACTTCACACCTGCATAGAGAGAGCAACAGGAAAATCCAAGTAAAAATGGTGTTCCATAGTGGAGATACTGGAGACCTCCATGCACTAGACCCATTTTAAAAAACTCACAGAGATCTACTGCTAAAAACTCAGTAAAACCATGTTCTGACTGGAGCAGATAAGAAGTTATTTGTATGCAGATTAAACACATCCTGTAATTGTTTCAATACTGGATTAAGCAAAGAGCATCAAACAGTTTAACACCTAAATCCCAGGAAAGCTGAGTCTTAAACTGTTGTCACAACCTTTCTCACCCTTCTGTTGTGCACTGTCCCCTGTAACTTTTGGTCTCTTGAATAATTTCAGCCAATTTCAAAAGTAAAGATAATGGAATTTCTAAAATTGTTAGGAATTTGGCACTGCATAGACAAAAGGCACAAAAACCTGATGTGCATGGGAGCAATTCAAGAGCTGTTCTCACCCAGCTGCTAAGGTGGATAAACAAAACCACAAGCCAAGAAATTTGTTAAAGAAAGTTTGGGAATAATAGGAAGGAAAGAAGAACAGAATGAAGGGGCAGAAAGGTGACTAGAGCATGGGAGGGTCAGGGAAGGGGGAAGGTGTGATGCAAGCCTGCAGGCAGCCACAGCTCAGAAGCTGTCCTTCCCAAGGAGCACATTTTCATCTCTCTACTGCTGACAGCTGTTAAGTCATAGGGGAGAAGATTAAATCTCTCTGAGATGTTCTGATACTGGTTCTGGTTTCCTCCACAAGAAAACAGAGTAGTTTAAACCTAAATATAGAAAATACTCTTTAGACAGTCACCACAGAACTGAGTTTCCCAATATCAACATGCCAATCCCCATCACAAGAAATATATGAAAAAGGACAACTCAAATACTACCTGTGCTTTATTTCTTTTCTGATTTTCTAACCACATTTAGCACAAACAGAACACATTAGAAGAAATCCACCCTCCAGTTCTAATTCAGGCTGAGGTTTTTTGTTTGTGTGTGTTTGGTTTTGTTTTTTTTTTTTAGATCATTAGAATGCAACAAACTCAAAACTTTATTTTTAACTTACCAAATATCAGTGCTAACCCATGGGAAGTCCCCACTGCTATCAGATTTGATGCTGCCTGAAATAGTCATACAGAAAAGACTGAAATCAGAAGCAATGTCAGTCACAAATCCAGCCTGTAAATTCTCACTACACTAATGCAAAGATTGCCAGAAGAAGAAGATTTAGGAGGTTACAGATATAACCATTTTCCAATTTGTAAGTGCCAAGCAATTCCTGCATGAAAGCTACAGAAATATTCCACCTGAATGAGCATCACAGAGATTTTCTCAAGTTCAGAGGGCTGCCTTTTCCTCAGCTGTTTGAAACCCAAATGCTCAGTACCCACAGTGAAATTTCTTCACTGTCAGACTCTTTCTTTTGGTGTGGTGGCTGAGTATAAATACTCAGAGGGTTTTTCTCATTGAGCTGCTACATCCACTTCTGAACTCTTCTACAACCCTGGGCAGTGCTGGTGCCCTGAAGACACTCCACAGCAAGCCCAGAGACTCCAGCTTCCTTCCAAGGAGTTAAACATAACTCCAAGATCCTATCACACTTGCAAACTTGTACCCAATAAATAAATAAATTTTAAAAACCCCAATAAATAAAACTTAATAGAAATCATATAATGCTGTAAATAGATTAACATTGTTCTACTTTTTATTTCTTAGCAAGTGTGAATCAGATTGAAAACATTAAGTGCTTTAATGTCTGAAGGACATAAGTACAGGTTTTGATCCTATGGGCACATCACTCACAGCGTGCTTCTAATTTTTGGCCTTAGATGTGACTAAAGTTTTATTCCTTTTTCTTTTTTAAACAGAAAGTCTCATTTCTGTCTGTACTAGCAGCAACCTGTAAGAGTGACCAAGCACATCTATAGTTCCTTCTTAAAATATTAAAACTCCTTTCACAAGGGCTGAGCTTGCTCCAATATTTGCTGTATTTCACCTCATTAAAATGTTTTTCTTCTTCTTCACCTATAACCAGCTTCACTTCTGATGTATTTTAATTGGCATGCTTGACTTCTAGAGGTTTAATGCAAATTGCTAAGCAGGAGTATCTTTTAGACAGGCTTTTAGTGAAATTGTACATTTTAAAGTCATATTTCAGTTATATAAGATGTAGAGATTTTGAACCCATCACTTTATGAGCATTT